TTTATTTGATAACTCTATCGGCACTTTATGGCCCTGAGCAACGCATGAAATCCGCCTCCTGGCTGGCCCAGACGTCCCTTTTTGTGGGAAGGGTCTTGAAGGTCTTTGAACGAAGATTAATTGGCCGCTTGCCACATATTTGTTCGCGAACCTTTCGTTCGCGATCAAAAGCCAGGGTTCGCTTATACGAGACATTTTGGGGATTGTGGTAACCTAGAGTGACCCCGCGACGCGAAGCGAGGCCTTCGAAGGGGAGCCCAGAGCCGGCCCAAGTAACGGGGGCAACCCTAGTGGTAGTTTGGGCTGAATCGGGTGCAACAACCAGGGTAGGGACACTACAAATTGGGTAGCCTGGGAGTCCCACCATCTGCTTCACTTGGCCCTTGAACAACAAACCACCAGGGCGGTGGTGGAAGCGAGCATAGTTATCCCACCCTGACAGACCGCTTCCTCTATCCTTGAGTTCTCTAATATCAGTGGAACCGCCTCGATTGAGGCCGCCCATCGGGCGAAGAGGGGTTCGTGCGTAGAGTATCCTCCTGGCGTTTTTTGGAGCGGAATTGGGCCACCCACCCGTATTCTGATATCTTGGGGTCCGCCTCTGAGCATTGCAAGAAAGAGAAGCACCCGGGGTTAACTCAGAATTTTCTTCAACCCAGCGACTCCATGCGGCATTTCCCACCTCACCATTCGGTCCGCTTGCAGTGGAAATGATAGGCCCCCCGATATGGGAAGATAATTCTCTTGTTCCCTTAGGAACGGAAACAATGACATTAACCACAGTTGGCTTGCGTTCCATTTCTCCCGAAGCTGGCCTGTCCCAGCTTACATCCCCGCCTGGGGGGGGGATGGCATTGATCGGGATTGGCGCCTGGAATGGGGGGGTGGGGGTTGGCAACAATTCTGGAGGATGGGGATGGGGAGGATTCGAGTCCTCATTTGGGGTGGGATCTGGTACGTCATCTTCGAAATCTAGTAATAGAAGCTCGCTAGTGGATGGGGCTGAAATCGAGCTAGTTGAAGTTTGACCAAAACCCTGCGACACTGTAACGCCTAAGTTGTAATCGACATCCAGAAGCGAGAGCAGATCAGAATTTCTAACAGGAAGCTGGTGCTCAGATACCGAGGATGGCCCGGCCGAATCATTTGAAGTACTTTCGTCAATCAACAAATCCGAGTCGGGAGAGTCAAGGACATCTTCCGTAGCCGAAGAAACCAGGAGAGGAGAAGACGAAGCAGTGGAGATCCGCGCCGGTAGCTCAGCTGCAGAAGAAACCACGCCATCTACCCACCCAAAAATCATTCTATTCTTTGCAATCCTCTGGGCCTCCTTCGTTGCCTCGGGAGAAGCCAAAATTAGGTCCAAATGACTGAGAGATTGAGTAGGCGAGTCAATTTTTCCCGGTCCCAATGCATGGGCGAGTACTCCCGTTTCATTCTTCCCGGAATCCATCAGCGAAAATTGGACAGAGCTAGCTCCCGCGACACTGGAGGTTTTCCCTTGTGCGCCTGATCCCAAGATTGGGGTTGCATGGGCTGATCTTGTAGGTTGGAGCGGCACAATGTTGCATAGACCATCCACACTGTCGAAACTATCCCGCAGTCCCAATTTTGGCTCCTGATCGGATATCTTGGAAGTTTGGAAGCTAGATTCAGAAGTACTATCGACTATCGGAAATTTGCCCGCGGGGCTCCTGGCGGGGATCAGGGTAGATTGTTTGCATTTTATAATGTCAGCCGGCTCCCAACAGAGATGGTCGACCTGGGAAAGCTCATTGCCACCTACAAAAACACATTAGTAAAGGGAGAATGCAAGTGATGATCAAACTTCTATCAAACTACCATACCGTTTCCACCATCAGTTTGGTGGACCATCCCAGGAGAAAAACCAGGCAACAAAAGTATATCTTCCTGAAGATCAAAAGAGCCAGAGGCTGTGATCGCCTGTTTGGCGGCAGGATCGGCGGGAGCCAAGGCACTGGAGCCAGTGCTGGGAGCATTGGATCTCGCCGCCACCGCTGTAGCTTTTCTACGAGCGCGTCTCCGGTAACTCTTACTTGGGACGAAACTAGAGCTTCCATCACTAAGAGATCCGCCGGTTGAAGTAGCTGTGCCGGACAATCCGGAAGATTGGGAAATCATATCGCCGTGTTTTGGTTGAGAAAAGTCTGGAAAAGCAAACGAAAAAAAATGACAGATTTAGCAAGAGGGTATATTTTTATTGTTTATTTATTTTATCCTTTTCAGGAAAGGTGTCTTACCACGTAAAGTTTCACCAAACAAGCAATTGCGATTTTCCCCGCTATATTTCCTTCTGGGCATAGGAAAATTCTGTTGTGAGCGAACACAAGAGGTCTGCGGCGGTGGGGCACGACTGCGATTGTGGAGGAAGGAAGAAGGCCGGCAGTTGAAGTCTTTATATGCCGAGTATCAAACCCTCGGAAAAAAGCCCTATGAAATCCAAGGGTGGCAATAGGCTTTGAAGACAGCGAGGTCGAGAATGATCCGTGAAAAAAAAAAAAAAAAAAATGCTGAAATATGGGGAGAAGGAGGGGGGGGGAGCGATGGTAAAACCAACAGTGAACACCGAAAAGCGCACAGAAAGGGAACTCCAGCTATGGAAGACTGTTTTTCTGATGGGCTCTGTGTAGGCAATCCCCGGGTATGGTACGGTTGAAGAGAGGAAGGAGAAGTGATTTTTTGTGCCCGAAATTCCTGTAGTTGTGGGTAGATCAAGCAAACAGTCATGTGGGGCAAGCACGGTTGCCAGGGCTTGTGAATTTGTGGACAAACTTCAACGCAACTTAAAACTCGTCACAGACGCGCGGTTTCCGCTGTCCGGGGTTTGGGTGCCCAACGGGAAGGCTTACTCAGCCTACTGTGATGGCCCTCTCCACTAATGTCGGAAAATCTTATTCTTTTACCAACGACGCTGGATAGGAGATATGTTTGAACATCTGGCGATCCGGGGGGTCGATGAACCTCCAAGGATCCTTATCACAGACTGTCAATCGGCCGAGTCATGGGTTGTGATATGGTGCCAAGTGTCTGAATGTGGGTCCTCCAGTGGAACGGCTATTCCGTTGCTACCGATCCCGGTTGTGCCAAGACATCACAAGACATGATGAATACGGCAAAATGATATGATGTACCACCCGGGAATGAGTGGAATAGTGGATAAGGCAGAAATAAAGGGAATTATGTACCGGTATGTTGATGAAAAATATTCTTGTGTATGATACCAGACTTCTAGCTTTATTTTTGTTGGTCATATGCCTGTCTTCTCATCCATCTGGTACAGTATCTCTTGTCATGTCACTAGGTATATTCAATCACTTGTTTCACTCTCACAAATTTTCACTTTTCATTCTTGAACTACATTGTTGCACAACACTTGATTAAAAAAAGAAAATCGTTGGCCTCTTCTCCTTTCAATTTTCTTCCTCTCAGCGCTTTTTTGTTTTTAAGATTCCTTGCTGTGGTTAACTAGTTTGGGATCGCATTTGGCCTGTTTTGAGGACCCGGTTTGAGCCCATTTCCACCATAGGTTCTATACAGTGCCCTATCAAGCGATTGGTCTGAAAAGACCCATTCCCCCCAACAACCCAACTCGTGGTCCAGGGCACAAGCGATGTAACGGTGGGGTTCTTCGAAGCCCTCAGCATGCCTTGATGTAGAGCTGTATTTCTCAACAATGAAAAGATTTTCCATGCAATATACTTTCCAAGATATATAGTCACGGTGCAAGAAGGCATAAGTGTCAACCTCATTTCGAGTGGTTTTCAATTATACATCACCCACCCAATAGTAGTCCAACTTAGGTAAGAAAAATGTAGAAATATAGAGCAAGTAATGTAGAATAAAAGTATGTTTTTTTTAATTTAGTAGTACCAAGTATCATGAGTGGTATCCTTGATTGAAGAATTGAATTTTTGGTCTAAAATCTGAGGCTTGACATTGAAATACAACATACAATTGCTGAGTAATCATAAATTTAACATGTAAGCTAATTAAAGTAAATTGTATAAAGAAGCATGATATATTATACTGATATAGTATACTACAAATAAAAAGATTTCCCCAATAGTGGATAGTACAACATCTGTGCATTATGTAAAATGGTACCTGAGTGCCTGAATTCAGTAAAACCAACTTTAATCTGGAAGTTTTAGGCATGTACTGAGAGAATAATGAGAGCATACCATGAAGGTATTGCCTATGGTACACCAGACTTTGGAGAGAAGGTTACCAAAATATATAGAAGTCATCGTAGAGTTTCAGACTCTCAAACTATTGTATATAATTAATATCTCTTACAATTGTTATACTTCTTCATAGTCAATCACTCATTGTCTTGGCAATCATTTGCACAGCCACTGTTGCATTTGACTGTGCCACATGGTTGACAGTCTTCCCTTCTTGAACCCATAGTTGTCCTGGATCAGGACGGACACAGCAACCCTTTTTTTCCCGGTGAAAATAGTATCCTCTTTTCTTGGTATAGTGCTGGGAACCTCCAATCTCCCTATTAGCCCGACTAGCCTTCACACAGAGCATACCGTCCGCCCCGTACCCAGTACAAATCATAGCAGAGTAATTAACATTTAAAATCAATAGCGGTGAAGAACCGTAGCACTTTTCGGTGATCTCATAGGACCGCCGCATGATATCGTAAAATTTTGCAGAAATCCTCGTCCCTCCTGGGGGGCGTCCATATTATACTTTACCTTTATAGCGGCCAGTTAGTATTCATTGGCATTCCACAAGGCTCCGAAGGAACCCCTGTCACAATCACAGCTGATATGGGCTTTATATTAAGAGGAAGGGGAACAAAATTTATTTGTATCTAAGCTAATTGCGAAACCAAACCTTCTAACAACGAGCTCCCTTCACGAATCACTTAGCTAAATCCCCCCAGATGCGCACCGAAGAAACGAAGAGAAGGGAACCGAAAATTCAAGATCAAGTAGGAAAAAATGACGAGGGAATGGAACACCTCTTTAGGTCTGTTTACCAGCAGGATTGCGCGCTTCGACAAGCTCGTCCACACCGTTCGCACATGGATCGCGCGCATGCCTAAAAATGCAACCCTCGTAGCGATCCAGCTTTTCAAGCGCCTTCCTTACCCAGAGAGCCCCGGCGATACTAGTGAAGCGCAAGAAGATGTTCGAAACCCCATCCTCGCCTCCTGAACGCTCTATGTTGGCACTATCCCATTGCACCAGTTTCTCAGTCATTCCTATTCCCCTAAGATCCGCTTTGACGTCTTCTTCCGAGATTTTTTCTCGCATGTTATAAATGCAAATACATCTAGTAACGCCAGTGCCACTTGTAGATGCTGGGAGGATATTCATGTGGTTGAACAGGCCCGAAGGGATGTGGTCTTTGCGAGTGATCCGTCTTTCCCCCACCATCAAATGCCATTCGCGGATGAAATCTCGGTAAGCTTGTGCTCCTGTCGGGGTCACGAAGAGGATTAATGCCGAAAAGGAATCCGTGTCAGTTACAGGTTCAAATATTTGCAAATGTTCAACCCGTCCACCTCGAATTTTGCTAAAGAGAGTATTGTAGTCGATATCCTGGGGGAGATTTGTAATGAGGACGCTACGCCCCACATCGCGGTTATTGACTCCATCCCGAAATGTCTTTTCCTGAATAGGAGCTCCATTAGAAGCTTTCCCCCTCTCGGCTTTAGGATCCTGGGGCTGCGGACCAGGGCAGGACTCCCGGAGAAAATCTTGTTGATTAGAGTACTTGTTCCAGTTCCTCAGACCAAGTTTGGGGGTAAGATCTCCCACATTTTCTAGTTCCGGACCAAGCCTCGTTTCGGCCTTTTCCATAGAGGCTCCATTCAGAGACCTCAGGGACTTTGGCTCATCAAACCATATATCAGGGGGCCTACTCCCGATTAGCTTCCCGCAGGTGTCTGGCAAGAATATACAAAGGCAACCCATGTATCTCTTATCCATAGCTATCTTATTCTGAACAGAGACAGCATAACTAATGGCAGTGAACCTAATGACCGCTATATATTGCCCAGTTATATCGGAATTCCTGGCGATAATGGATTCGATAACATCCTCACGGGTGGGCCCGGACTTCAGGTATCCCATGACGTCCTTCGCAATAGCCTCGACTGTCATGCCTGAGATGTTTCTAACTTCCAGACACCGGGTTTTCTTATGTTCCCAAACATTTGCGATCATCTCCGGCGATGGGATGGCTGATCTTGGAGTCCAGAGAAATTTCCCTAGACCACACCGTGCCATCCCGTCCTCTCTATGGTCACCGCTTCCACCAGCCTCCCTCGCCACCCAAACCCCTTCTCGTTCTAGGACCTTATAGAAACGCCTCGCTGATTCCGGTTCCATGAATACGATCCTGGCTTCCAAAGTTGGTGGGTTTATGACAGCTGCCTCCACGACACCTCCGTGAATGCAAGAAAAAAGCCTACTGTAGTTGATATCCGCCGGAAGATTGTGAATACCGACTTCTCGAATGTGCTCGTAATTATAAGGCATGCGAGTTTCCTCAGATGGGCTGATGGATATCCCAGCCTCATCCTTCATTGGGTTAGCACTGCCTTGGTTTTCCTGCTTACCAAGCGGAACAGTCTGCAAGACCGTAGGGGCTTTAGGTGATAGCTGAGAAGAGGCTGGTGAGGAGGGTGAGGGGGTGGATGGTTGAATTTGTGATTTCTTGGCATCATTGAGAAAGGATTTGCAAAGCTCAAACTGCCTTTGTTCGAGAATGTCATTCTGCTTAGACTTAGGGCTAGCGGATTTGCTAGAGAAGACGGAAATGCCGTTCCCAACCCCTCCAGTCCCACAAGATCCTTCCTTCGGTAAGTCCGAAGATATCTCTTGCTTTCCTTTCTCTATATCCTGCTTGCCCCTGAAGGCTTCGGTGGGGTTTTTGCTGGGATCCGCAAGAAAATCAGTCAACCCGCCTGGAGGAAAATGAAATGTTAGAACGGACGAGCTGGTAGAAAATGTGAGCGCCAAGGCATACCAATCGTCTGTACATCACCCACAGCACTCGGAAGAGCTGAGGGATTGTCACCAGAAACCCCCGTCGTTCCTGCATTAGCTCCTAGATCCAGGTTCTCCGGATTCTTCCCACCCAGATGGCCTCCTTCGACAGTACTGTGTTTCGTAGATTCCGCGATGGCTTTACTCTTTGCCGGACGGTTTGGTACGGGATCTTCATCCAGAGAATCATCACCTATGACGATATTGGAGGACTTTCGTACTTGTAGACGTTTGGCAACTAAAATTGTTAAAGTTTTGTATGGCTAAGCAACAGGAAGCGATCTTACCCCAATTTCCGGACTGGTCACGGATATCTAAACCAGTAGATAGGCCCAACATGGGACCCAAATCTCTTGGGACAAAGGTTCTCGCAGCCTCCGGGTCATCTGGAAGTCCCAGGAGAAGTGACTCAGACGCATCAGACACGTCGTCCAGCTTATCAATCTCTTCAACACACTTGGATAGAAAGGTCACATCTTCACGACTCTCTCTTCCACTACGCTTTTTCGCCCCCTCTTCCTTCTTCCTCTCAGCCTCTAAGGCCGCTATCACCCGTTTCAACTGTCTGTTTTCATGCTCCAAGCTCTCCACCCTTACCCTGAGAACGTTAATCTCCGAATCCTTGAATTGCATAAAGGCGGAATCCATTTTGATCCTAGCGGTGAGATCACGATTGGCATTCCTAGCCTCCAAAGCCATTTTAGCCAACCGGCACTCGTCTCTGGTAAGCCCTTTCTTAACGGTGATATTGCCCACTTGACCAGGCTCAACGGCGGTAGGGGTGATAGGCAGGGGAAATGACCGGTTAAGGGCAGAGGGGCTGCTTGAACACATATCTTGTGGAGGAGAAGGACCTGTCGGTCCTTGTAAAGGGGTGATCTCTTTTCGTTTTTTTCAATTTTTCTTGGACGGGGTGCTGTGGGAACTGGTTGTGTGGGAAAGGGATGAAGTTTGCTAGCGAGTGTTGACAAGAGAGAAAGCGCGGGGGGATTAGGAAAAAAAAATGAGAGAAGGCGGTTTTTTGTAGGCCACGCGTCAAAGGTCACCGTACTTCCGAACCTTCCCTCCCATAAGAAAAAAAAAATAAGATACCCCGCTCCTGATCACCACATTGCGCTCGCGAGAGCCGGCGAATTCTATTATGTGCTTCTGATCTTGTAGAGAAACCATCATGGAATGTCACTCGCCCCAAACCATTCTCGGTCCCGTAGGATTACAGCCCTGTCCAACCGTATGATACTTTCTCGATCAATGTGCTGAGGCCATTTTTAGCGGGGGTGTGAGGAAGCTAGTCTCATAAGTTATGCTCTAATGCCCTATGGGAGCTCTCACCGAACCACGCTCCGTGGATATCCTCTTCTTTAGGTTACCAGAGACTAGAGTCCAGCAGAAAGTCTCGGATTAGCTAGTGGAGGTTGTGTTTTGCAAAAGTCGCTGAAGGTTTACATTATCGCATGTAAAAGATTGGAAGATGTGCGCTAGAAAACCCTGAAGACAAAACCATCACTGAAAGGACGCTATCTTTCCTCGTAATTGCTCGTGTAGTTCGATCGGATCAATCCTTTTTGATGATCTGTCGGGTAGTTGCTTCTAAACGTTAAAGTTAGTCCTAGCAGGGATCCCTAGATCCTGCCGCTACCTAATTTCTAATCCAACGGCCATTTTAACAAATAAGGGTAATGATTTATCTCCTGTAATGCCTGTGTAAGTAGGATAATAACACATACGCAGCACATCCCAATCAAGCTACCGGAGTTACCGCCTCAATTATCTCCAAAACGAGAACCTGAAAAAGAAACTCTATCACGAAAAACTTAGACGCTGTTTTGTGCAATACGGGATAAAAGGACTCAGTTTTTATGGAAATGCTAGTGTTTGGTGGGCCCAATTTTTTTTTCTATGATACTAGATAGGTGAGTGGAATTTAGGGCATACTGGTGTGTAAGGCTGTATGATATGATATCATAATATTATGGAAAAGAAGATATTACCCCAAAACTGGTAGGTTTAGATGAGACATAGTACTAAAAAATACTAGGAATAAAATTGTTGAGAAGAGAAATATGACACCATGGTATTTCTGTGCCTACCAAACACTATGTGGGAATTTTAGTTTAATTCAGCAGAGAATGCTGAGGATAAGTGACAAAAGTTCAGCTTACATGGCATGCCAAACAGGACCTTAATACATGAGAAATGCAAGACCTAGGGTCCCTCGGGTCCTACCGCTCCAATAACCCAGGCCCGGGGTCAAGAGGAAAACCGAAAACCCGAGCCCGGGCAGTTACCAAGATGTCGAGAAGAAATATTCAACACATGAGAACCCGCGCGACCGGGCACCACTGTGATACAGCACAATACCAGGATCAATTCAATGCGGGTAGTTCTTTTAGGCAGCCCCAACGGTACCGTACAGCACTTCTATAGTACAGTGGCCAGAGAGGAGGCTAGTGTAAGTACTATAGATCTCCACAAAATCGGCAATCTTGAACCGCTAAACATTGCAGTTAATTCGAGATTTTGACTCCCCCGGGAGACAATCTCTCGTACTTCAAAATAGGGCGCTTGACAAAGCTTGTTTTGAAATCCGGAATACAGGGACCACTGTGAAGGTGAAAAACAAACAAAAGAAGTGAGCCCTGCCCGGGTGAGGCTAGCTGCAGCAAGAACCTCTGCGGCTATCAAACTACATGAGCTCCCCCCAACCCAGGGACCCGTAACCCCCAACCCCACAAAATTCGGACCAAACCAGGGATGGGGGATCGGATGGCCAGCGGAGCGCCAAGACCCCTAAAGCACAAAACTCTCATCAGCCTTCGCTCGAGGCCTCCCTGATTTATTTTCAATACGGGAACTCCCCGATTCTGGCCGAAAAGAGCAAGTATGTTAAGGTCTTGGCAAACCTCTAGTATGATACCGGCTTGGGACCAGACACCTTGGTGGTTTGTTGTCTAATAGGGGCCCCGCCAACACCCCGCCACAAGACATATGATAATATTATGATAATTATGATAACTCTTGTAAACCTTCCCCAGCAGTGGTAAGCGAGCGATGGGAGTGGGGTAGTATTTTGGGTTTAATACTGCCGGGGGTAGGTGTGTTGTTAGAGACACTTCTGAGGGTTTTCTATAATGCGTTTCCCCGACTTTCGGCCGATGGTGTGGGGGTGGAGCTTCATAATGAGGGCATTCTGAGGGGTGATGTATGATATCATACTTGTACTGTACAAGAGTAAATAAATAAAAAAAGAGAATTTCACAAAACACTCTAGACAATGCCGTCTCCAACTACACCAGGTAACTACATTTCTGTATTCTGCCCATCAACGCAAAATGGCCTCCACTCGACATCACTGATAACCACCAATCATGTACTGTACTTGGGGGGGCAGTAAGGGCCAGAAAACTAGTTCTACCAATCCATGTACAGCCACACCCGCTATCCCGGATGGCCAAAATCCGAAGAATCTATCCGGGGCAACTAGTAATCCGGGACAGCGAGTCAGGTTCTGGTGCAAAAGTTTTTTTTTTTTTGAATTCGCAGGATTTCATACGGGACAGTGAGGTATACGTACTAGTATTATAGAATTCCGGGAGAGAGAGGTTCGACTGTAAATATCTATGATAGGGAGACAAGGATTATATTTTGCAATTTTTGATTACCCTCCCAGACTGCCCTTGTCCAGATCCAGTTTTGCTCCACCTCTAGCTCCAAGCAGGTTTTGACATCTGTGTTTCTCTATCTAACATTCAATTCCAGCAAGAGAACCATATGTTGTGTAGTTGAGAACTGAGTACTTTTGAAGGGCTCAGGGGAGAAATCACCTCAAAAAAAAAAAAAAGTGTTTTTCAGGCCTTAAGAAGACAGAAGAGCAGAAAGATAAGATATAAGACCTTACAACAGATAGAAGAACTGCTTCCAACAATATAGTATGAGCTTGGCAACAAAAAAAACTGACCCTCAACCCCTCGTCAAGCCATCAAGAACTTTGGCTACACATACTGTGATGGCTATCCCAATACCACAAGATAGATCCCATCCTCACTGGTGCACCCCTAAGCAGTCTCAAGTCCTTACTTTGTTGGACCTTGGTTTTTCTAAACATGAAACCTCAAGAACTTGAAGAACCAGCATACCACTATCAACCATTGTCAACTGGACTCATGATCCTCATGACCATCGCAACAAAGTTCACTCTGGCCATCCACAATCCCTCACCCCACATGATATCCAGCTTGTAATCCAGATCTTCAAGAGTAGATAGGAGGGGAGAAGACTATCGTAGACTCGTTTAGGTAAGGAAGCTGATCTCTATGTCTCGAGGAGGACAGTGCAGCACGCACTTGAAAATGAGGGATCTACCTGGTGTAAGGCCTGTAAAAAGTCCTTTATCTCCAAAGCCTGTCAGCAAGATCATCTTTAGTATGCTATCGAGCATATCCAGAAGCCAAAACAGTGATGGTACAACCATATGTACTCAGATGAGTGCACTTTTGATATGTCCAAATGTGATTCTAAATGGATTACATGGTTACAAGACAAGTGCTACCATGATGACTGCATTCAGTATACCATCCATAGTGGTAGGACTTCCATGAATGTGTGGGGCACTATTAGTCACAACTGGAAATCAGAGCTGGTCTTTTTTCAGGGGACAGGAAAGAAGGAAATCACTTATAGTGATTACTTGGAACAGGTATTGAAACCTGTAGTAGGACCAGCATTTCACAGAAGGAAAGGATGCTCTGGGGCATCAGCTAGGGGTTAGTATATTGAGGATGCAGCCCCATAGCATGGGGTTGAACAGATGTTAAAGGAGCTAAAAAAAGAGTTGGGTATTCCAAACCATAATCAGCTGGCTCAGTCTCCTGACCTCAATCTAATTGTGAATGTATGGAGGATTATGAAGCAGCACATTAAAGGAAGCACTCAGGCTAACTTTCCTGGGACTGTTCTCAAAATGAGGTAAGCAGTGCAGGAAGAGTGGGATCAGCTATGGCCTGCTAATTTTAACTAATATGTAGATAGTATGCTGGAGAGAATTGTGGAATTGCGGGAGCATGGTCGAATGCAAACCTGATAGTAATCATGTAAATTGAACTTTAACATCTCTACTCTCTACTCTATTTTATTTCACATTTCTATTATTTTTTATTATGTAATAGGAGTGGTTGTTGTTGTTGTAACCCCGCCGGTTTTTGTATTAGAGATCAGTTTTTTTTGTTGCTAAGTTTGTACACAGTTGTATTATTTGGCAATATAGTATATTTATCAACCTGTATGCTGGATATGTATAGTAGATATCATCTTACCTCTGCTTGTTAAATACTATATCTTCTTTCTTACTTGACTCAGGGGGTTCCTACATTCAAGAGTTAAGAGGAGTCAATTACTATCTAATTATATATTAAAACCATAATCCCTCTATCTATAACAACCATAGTACTATGGTAAACTATAGCATAGTACTGGATCTATACCCATACTATATGAGACTAAGAGGCCAAGTGATTGAGACAGGCTGACATGCTAGAGAATATCCTGAAGGATATCTGAGAGTCAAGGTACCTTTATGAGTATATTGTACCCAAGGAAGATGTATCTAAGTAGGAGTGGTAATGTGACTATGTCTTATATTGGCTTAAGAATAGGTCAAATAATCAGATGAAGTTACCTTGCCTAAGGGAGTCACATTACCCTACCTTGGGAACTATTTGCATGTTACTAAGGACATACTTACTCTGCCTTAGGGACACTACTATTTTAGCTTGCCTTAGATACATTCTCAAATAATTTTTGAAAAATATTAGAATTGTTTGTTATGCAATAAGAATTGACAGATACTTGTATGTATATTGATTGGATGACTATAGAAGAAGCTAGAGAGCTCAGAATATACTATAACTTGACAGAAATAATCCTAACATACTCCTGCAGTCCCCAGGTTTGTTTCAGGTATCATAGATTAAAGAATATCAAGTTGCTATCATTCTAGTTAATTGGAGTCAATGAAGACATGTCTATATACTCTAGATATTATTACTATCTATCCAACTCTAAGCTGTACCTAGAATAGATGAAGAAGGTAAGGCAAAAAGATCAAGTACCTTCTTTACCAAGTTGAATAGAGTAAAATAGACTTGAACCAAAACTAATAGAGTTAGTATGTACTATCCAGAGGAGTCCCATAGGTAGTCTCTGAGTGGTACTGAAATAACAGAGAAGATTTTACTCCAATCAAGTCTACACATACTCCTTTACTATAAACTCATTCAGGGTTGGTTGAGGAATCTAAAAGTATAATACTTATCATGGTAGTAGTGTTCTAGAGGTAAGAAACTATGGGTACTAGTATCTATGGGTCCCATCACTAAAGTAATTTGCTAAGAGAGCACTATAGGCCTCCATAGTTCACAGTTTAGATAGATAAAACTTAACTGAAAAAAGTAGGTGTCTACAAGAGCTTACATAGATGATTGCATATGGGTACAGAGTTAATTGATTAGCTCTCTCAGATGACTCAATAGTTAGCAACTGGTAAGACACCAATATGTAGAGGTTTTTACTTACACTCTGGTGGTTGTATTGATAAGTATTGTCAGTATGACATAGGACACAGTACTATGACTTCCGGATAGGAAAGGAAAGGTTGTGAGATAATCAAGACAGAGTGAAAGAAGAAGGATATGCTGAAATGAAGAATATAAGATGGATATAGTAGATCTGGCCAAATGAGTTGATTTAGGCTGAAAGACTACTTTATGAGATCCAAAGTATAATACTTATATATTGTTAAGTGATAAGTCTGCACAGGAGAAGTCAGGACTGCTATACAAGACCTAGAGATGAAAATTATACATGCATACTACTTAGTGCTATAAGTAGAAGGAGGAGGAGGAGGAGGAGGAGGAAGATGCCAGTAGAAGGGGATAAAGAGGAAAAGGAGGAGATGGGTTGGGTTGATGTATTATTTTTTATATATACAAGTATTATACTTTTATAGTTAGTATTCATACCTGAGTGAGCATTTTCTTGTTTTTTTCATACATGTATCACATGATTACTTCTTGTACATTTTCTTTATACTGTGTGAGTATATATCAACCTGAGCTTGAGTAGAAGTTTTTTTTTTTTTGAGGTGGGTGGGTTTTTTCTTTTCTTCTACTCAAGTGCTAGTATGTACAAATATTAGTATAATATAAATGGAAGGGGGCAAGGGGTTATCTCCTCTCTTTTTTTTTCATCTACTCAAGTATCATATATCCTCTTATAAGCTGTGAATGTTACACTCCAGATAGTTAGACTCTAATTTTGGTTGTCCACTATTGGTTGACTATACCGATTATGTGGAAAGGAACCTGTGCCACCTGCTAGGACAAATGGGGTGCCAATTCTTGGCTGAGAAGCACGAGTACACTGTGGCATAAGCTGAGTCGGGTTCCCATGTCGCTTCACCCTCACCAAGGTTCACCAAGTTAGGTTTAGCGGGGGGGTCGACGTTTTTCCAACGTTTCCCTTGTGTAAGTTACTGCCAACTACAATGCACACTCACAGAACACACCTAAAGACCGTCATGTCATACACAAACACACATGCCCGTGAGAGATGGGGGAAAGGGTTGCCAGGTACCTTGGTGGATACCTTTCCGCAATGACAATTTTCAAACCCCTCCGCTGTTTACCGGGAAATAGTCAACCTCTACTGTACCCCCACGTCTTGTTCTGCGGTTCTTCCCTACCTGCCACAAAACCCCCCCAGTCTCCCTTACCAGCCAATCCTTACTCTCGAGTACCATATCACGATCCACGCAAGGCAAGCGCCGGTACCGGTTTGCAATCCCCAGCCTTAGCCTTGCAGATATTGTGAGCACTTAAAGCCAGCCCTTCCTCCCTCCCGTACTCGTCCTTCCTGCCGTATTGATCACGCTTTTTTGCATTTGGCTATTTTTTTCCGGGTCCAGGGGGCGACCGTAAGGAACAGTTTTCTACGAGTGTAATATTCCATAATGAGATATTCTATGCTACTCGTTGCTATAGTAGCAGGCATTTCCCGGGCCCAGAGGAACTGTCATATGGACGGTGATGTTGAGTTAGTATTTCCTTGCGTACAATGACCATGTGGAGAATTGGTTGGCTGATTTGAAAATGAGAGAGAATGGAGGCATTGCGTAGATGAATCTATACCTCACGGCGCCAGTAGCGCTGGCTCCCACCCTCAAGCTACGGGTTCATATGGCAGCTATGAACCAGTGGTCACTGGGATGGCAGGCTGTACTATCCAGGATAGCATTCAGTAGGTTTACGGGGGTTTCTCCTCTCCGTCTAGGATCGATATTGTACAAGTCTGACGGATCGCCCAGATACTGCACCCCGCAATACAGCATTCCAATTGTACCCGTTGCAACAGTATCCGCTAGTGCATCCTTCCCAGGGTCATACTCCGGCTGTCACACTCATGATGGAGAAACGTAAGATCAGATAAATCTCACACCCTAGCCAATCCTGCCTAACAAAATTAATAGTTTCTGCGTTGGACCTGACGGCAAAGACTTCCTAATCAAGGCTCTATCTAACAACGACACCGAGCGCAGCGAACATAATGATGGGCGTGGAGAGCACGGAGGTGAAGAGACAAAACAAAACTGCCACTTCCATGCCGGGGTAGAACATTGCACCGCCGGCTCCTCAACATCAAGTCCAGGTCTAAGCTGCGCCCGCAGTCAACGAGACTACAACATCCCCCTCCGTATTGGCGCCACCTTCACCATTCTAGTAACCTCGTCAATCGCAGTCTTCGCCCCAATATTCCTGAAGCAGTTCACGAAGTTATCCGCGACCTGCCTCACCTTCACTATTATCAAGCAATTCGGGACAGGAGTTATCATAGCAACCGCATACGTGCATTTACTGACCCATGCCCAGTTGTTACTTGGTTCGGACTGTGTTGGAGACTTGGGCTATGAAAGTACCGCTACCGGAATTGCCATGGTTGGGGCTTTCCTCTCGTTTTTGTTGGAGTACCTTGGCGCACGCTTCATTGATCGAAGACGCTGCAGGAATTCTACTAGCACGACCCCCGCTTCGTCGGTTTTGGACCCTAAATACTCCGAGGGCGTAATCACTGCTGCTCCACCTGGACACGTGCACGGAGGAGTTTCCGGTAATGGAAATGATGATAAACTAAGTGTTGCTGTGATGGAAATGGGGATCATATTCCACTCTATCCGTAGCCCCCCACTCTCCTCATCACCTCATCCCGACAGCGCGCTAACAAACCGTAGTGATCGGGATAACCCTCGTTGTAGTAGGAGACTCCGGCTTTGTGACCCTCTTTATCGTCATTATCTTCCACCAGATGTTCGAAGGACTGGCATTGGGCGCACGAATCGCCTCCCTCCCCATCGACACCAGACTCCTCATTAAGCTACTAATGGGCGCGGGCTTCGCTGCCATAACACCCATTGGAATGGCTATAGGGATTGGCGTAAGGAATGAGTTCAATGGCAATGATAAGGCCACTATCATCGCACTCGCGACCCTTGACGCATTGAGTGCTGGTGTGCTTGTCTGGGTTGCGCTTGTGGAGATGTGGGCCGCGGATTGGCTCTATGGCAATCTCAAAAACTCGAGCGCTAAGAAGACCACCATCGCGATGCTTGCCTTGGTGTCTGGAATGGTGCTCATGGGACTGCTGGGGAAGTGGGCATGAGCAACTTTCTTTTGAATTTTGGTAATACCAGGAGGAAACTCTAACCCTGCCCGCCTGTTTAATTGGGCTTAGTTTGTATGGGATGGTTTCCACCCACAAGCTGGGCGGATTGGGATATAATGGCTTGGGCAATCACACGGCTTCATCATAGCTTGATTTTAGCATAAATAGGTGTAGTTTGGTACCAGTATTCGGGAAAACCTACACCCCATTTCCGCACTACCACCGGTGAATGGACTCTCATTATTTCCGTCATTCTAGTAATGTGGGCGGATTATATTGGGGGGGGGGTGGTGATCTTGTAATATTATGGGAATGCACCGGCGCATTGACGAATTGATGCATGGTCCCCGACAATTTAGTTTTCACCTAAGCTCTTGCAAAATTCAACTTCCCGGGAGCGCTTCCTACGGGTAGACCCCTCTCGATCGAAGGCTTTTATCCGGGCATGGTCGGATCCCGGACAGCTCCGGCCGGGCCCGTTGTTCAGGTTATCATAGGGCGCGCGCGGTACCAGGCACTGATGAGCGGCTAATGGCAATCCGGGGGCCAACTCCGCATATGGGATTTAGCTTGGCTGTTACCCGGGAGTCGCCCAGAGTAGTAGCGGTAGAAGCACTAGGCTGTGCTTTATTTACGGAATAAAATTCATGTTAAGATGTAGGATTTCCTATTCTTAATGTATGATACCACTAGCATTGCGCTCCCGGGAGCTTTGCAAATTCTGTCTTCTTAGACACTGTCTTTCATCCCAACTCTAAGCATGTGGGTAAGCCTAATCGAGATATTCAAGTAAACTGCATCCTCTAAAGGACTATCTTCCCTAGCGATCATGGACGATCACTAGTGGCCGTTGGAGGTCTGTAGGATATACTACTGGAAATCAGGGTCGCTGTCACGAACCTGAGTAGAGGGGCGCTAGACAGCCCTGGCGAGGCGAGGATCAGGCTCCACATGACCCACAGTTGTAAGTCGCCTCGACAACGCCTTTCATAGTCATGCTCGTCCCACACCCCGCTAGGGCCTGTAGCACTGGCTCGATCTCAGGGATGAGTTGCTCCGCAGCCTCACCTGCTACGGCCCCCTTTAATGGTACCTCTTATCGGGCTGCAGCAGCCGCTACGGCTTTAGCAAGGATGCTGTCGTATAGGTTTGACGTGCAGAAGGACAGGGGGGCGGAGCCCCCGGTGGATGCCTTAGTTTCTGCAGCGTAGGATGTCTCGAATCGTGGCAGTATAGGGATATACAGCTGTTCAGGCGAGGGGGACTGTGGGCTCACGGAAGGAACCCTTTTTACCTGCCACTTCTTGTTCTTCCCCCCTACAGTCCTTGGTGAATGTGCTTGGCGCTGCGTTGGGGGTTCGAGTCCTTTCCACCCCTGCGGAAGTATAGCTATGGTTTTGTTTCGAATTCCTCGAGTAGGTCGGTATGGACCGGCTTTCCGGCCTTGTTCTGGATGAGGTCGGTGTATATATCTCCAGTGAGGCAGCCAGCCAACTCGAGGCCACTGCTGTCCATTCTTTCTCCACAACGGGATATATACGCTATCCGTCGTAGATCCTCAGCGCTAGTGTTCCTCGTGGGGAGGGCACTCCACGAGGGGTCTTATGGGGGAGACTAAAGCGGGGTATGTGCCACCATTATGATCAGCCCCACGCAGAAGCAGTGCCGTTAATAACGAGCCACGAAAGGTCTATAATAGGGTCACATCTGCTAGAAGACTCTCCAGAGGGGGGGAGGGGGTTGAGGGGGGACGGTAAGCGACGGGTAGCAGTCGCACGGTGGCGGTCATTGCGCGGGGGTTGTTGGAACGCAACGATAATGATGATCGGGCTGGGACCGGCCTGTTTCCGGCGAGCCATAGCATTGAGGTGTTCGGATACTCTTGATAACCCAAAACGTGGTAGTTGGCCTCTAGGCCCGCGATGCGGTAAACCCATCTAGGGCGGTTTCCGTTTGATTGCTGGAGTGGGTACAGGGGTAAGACCAACACCCCCCGAAACCCTTCCTGCAAATAGCTGCACCGTTCCATGAGGTGCCCGGGAGACAGAGCGGCTTTGCCTCTGGGAGTCATAGTGACAGTGGGTGCTCTGCATAAGAGGACTACGGATACCGGTGGTGCATACCAATTATAACCTACGTCAGCAAGCGTGTCTTCACACACTACCGGTATTTTTCTTCGCTGTACGCGACTTGGCTCGTCCACGGGGTCCCCACCAACAGCGTCCAATAATCCGACCGCCACCCCGAATCCCCCGCCGGCCAGGCCACACCTGTCACTACTCTCTCACCAACTACTTCGCTATCATCCGCGACGAGTTCACAAGAGAGGAAGAGTGGGGAGGGGAACGGGGAGAACGGGGGATCCGATTATCTACAACTACACCTCCCTACGCTTGGCCCGCGCCTATAGCGTTTAGTGTTCTGAATGTGTGGGATCTGGATACATTGGCAGCGTCTGGAAAACCACCGTTGACTGGAGTTATATGATGTGCTCATTCAAGTTTGCCTTCCCCCCACTGAGGAATTTGTTATTAAGGTTTAGGGAAAATACAAACGGTGAGAACCATAGAAACAGTTGAAGCGGCGCCAATGAAAATTGTGGAACCACCAGAACCAGGTTACATACTAGATATCAAGCCTGAGTCAAAGCGAGCTAAATTAACTAAAGCTAGAAATTTGTTCCGTTCCTATACGTACCTTTAGAAATCTATCTAGGTTGCATTTTGAGGTTAAGCTTACCGACCTGGCTTTTAAACCTAGCTAACAAGGAAATCATATCCATTCCCAATGCTACCCATTCTCGGGCTTCCGGTAAAGAGCACGGACACTCTCAGAATACTGCTGTTCGAGATGGGCTAAGGATAAAAGCACCAATGACGAATACCAGCTAAAGTACCTTAAGGACTCAGCAATTACCTTCACCGCAGGCGTCAGTTTCCGGAGATGATCATTTCCCCAATCAGCTTCCAGGGTTGGCACCAGAGGCCTTTATCAATTCCGGAAGTTCGGGCTAAGTGTCCGATAGCGAAGAAACCGAGCCTTTTTGCAGTTTCGATAAGTAAACTGTTGCCGATAATGTCTGTTTTACATGGCGCGTCTCAGAGACTAGAGATTTGCTATCCGCCTTGCTCAAGCTGGCTTCCTGTCGCCGAGTGCTGTTTTAACACCCAGGGTCCCCAGGCACATGGCAATCAAGCCCTGCCCCCCGTATAAAGTGTCAAAGAAGTGCTATTGAGCACCGGAGCTCAGTCTATTTTCGGTTTTTCGACTCCATCGATCGCCGGGTAACAACCACCAAAATCCAACCATGGCCACCCACTAGACTAGGATCTATTGGTAGACCGGTGGGTTCTAGCCAAGTGCAAAAGCCTTAGTCCACAGATGAAAAGGGAAACGAAGCGTCAAGTAGTGCGCATTTATGAGGCTTGGTTGATATGTCCACAACATGTAGCTTCGCAGGCATCAAATGAAGGGGCACCTCGAGTCCGAAGCACTTGACGTCTTGCGAGAGAAACCTCGCGCAGGTGGTGAATATGGATTCTTAAATCTCAAGGAAGTATAACGAAAACGGAAAAGAACGAGGGCTCGGGATCCAGTGATTGGGAGCTTAAGGTGTAAATACCTCTTCTTCCCTTCTTCTTAAAAGCTGACTGGAATAAAACAATAGGCCGGAACTAGAATCAAGAGGGAGCTAATACTACCACTCAGTCCGGCTCTGGAACGGAAAGCCGAAGGTGCCTTTGCAGAGGTTAGTTAGTACTGGCTGGATGAAACGCCGGCACCGCCTATGAGCCTTTGTGGTCTAGTCTAGTTTACTATCTTAAGATGTTTGGCTCGTTTTTTCCCTAAAAGCCCCCGTTCGGCCCATTCTGTTTTGTTGCACCGTTCAGCTCTGGCTCGGTGGATATAATATGTCATTGTATTCATGTATCATCACTCGTGTATAGATTCAGAGCACCTGTTGCGTTGCAAGGTCTCGTTATCCAGTAGGGTTAGGGTTCAGATTCAGGGGGCACTAGAAGATCTCTTCACGTTAGTCTTCAGTATAATATGGGGACAAGTTTTTCTTTCCTTCTCCTGTATGTTCGATTAACTATCCTTTCCATCTCTCAATCCGCATCGTTGCTACAGTACCACTCCTGTCCCTTTCATCACATTCATCGGTAGTGCACGAGATTGCGGTTGAGAAACATTAACATTTTTAACCACTCTCACAGGTACGGTGATCACAGAGTCCATCCCCAAGTTGAAAGATGCAGGGAAATCGGGCTAGCATTGAGATGCGCAGTTCTCGATCCCAATCGGGGGTTTATATTAGGCCTGGTAGCCTGCCTTGGCCCAGCCTATCGGTGACCCGGCCGGCTGGGAGCGATAAATGTGAGGGAAGGGAACGTTTCAATTCCCACTCAAGGGAGGCTACAGGTTTGAGACAAAACATCTAAGTTAATTTCTTTTGACTAAGGCAGTCGCCCCAATGCCAGGCCATTCTCTGACGTCTTCCGCAGCCCTATTTACTAGGTGGATAACCGGAATCGCAATCCTTGATTCGTCTTCCCTCATTCCCCCTCACCCCCCTACCACGTACAACTATCAGGTGTCATCCATCAAATATATAGTTACAATCACCCATGAAAGAGGGAATGAAGCCCAATTGCCTACTGCCAGCGTGGAAGTGGGTTCAAAGCTAAAAGCCAAATCAGAGAAAAGGAAACAGCAAAAAAGAAGCCGAGGTGGCATCATGTGAAGAAAGCCCGGAAAGAAATAAATAGGAAGAGTCTAGAAGGTGGTGAATAGAAAACATGAGAAAGCCCTAACGATGAAACGAGTGGTGAAGAAAGGACTAAACTAGCAGTAGGATGAAATTAGTCGTGAAACAAGACTAATCTGTATGGCAGATAGGCACTAAATCCAACAAAATAAGAGTTATGATTAACTTGAAAGTGGTGAAAATATAAATGAGACTAATACACTCGAGACATCGTTGTCTCTGCCCAGGGGTGCCCCCCACTATCCATACTCGCCCCAATGCCATGCTGTCCTCCAACGTCTTTCACAGCTCTATTTACTAGGTGGATAACCAGCATCCCAATCCTTGATTCATATCCCCGAACGTATCCTGCATTCCCCCCCACCTCCCGCCGGGGATATAGGATATGTGGATAAAACCGGAAAAGGGGAGGTCGAGAATCGGGACATCGTTGTCTCTGCTCGGGTGTACCCCCCACTGTCCACGCTTAGTAGTGTCCCATAGAGCCAGGACGTTTAGTGGGCTTGTGGGGGGCGCCATTATATCTGGCAATGAGAGAACTCCTTGGGCAAGGTCCTGTACTCGGGTATGGACGTAGGTGACCGGACAGCCAAGGATTCTAGAGGCTGACCGGTCTTGCCCTCTTAGGAAATAAAAGGGTGAGTCTGGCATGAGAATTGCTCAAACAAGCAAGAAGCTTTGACACCTCTAATCCCTGGCTGTCCGGTCACCCACGTCCATACCCGAGTAACACCCGGCCTTGCTCCTCCTGTTTCTCTGCGATTGTGACGACCGTGGTCTCGGGTTCGTAGCTGCTGATCGTGTCCGCTCTGTTCGTCCTGTTTCTTCACGACCACCGTGGCATCCTCAGCAAGGCGATCGGCGCGGGTTTGTAACTCGTGATCGCGTTCGCTCTATCTCCGTGTGTTTGTGTCGGCCGTGGTTTTCAACACATCAACATCCGCAATCAGGCTAATGACAGCGTTAGTGTTATACTGTATTCCCCCCGGGTAGCCCCGAGATGCGCAACAATACCAGTAAGATGAGTGTCATCTGGCGAATCTGGTGCGGACATGCTTGCAGATCATGTGTGAATTAGAAACCCCGCAGATCGTGGGCGGGGACGCGTCTATCCGGGACTTGCGGTAGCTGTGCCTAACATCTAGGGTAGGAGGAATGGAATTGGGGATGGGCCGGTACGTGAGGGACAGGTTGAGGAGGAGCAGGAAGGATGATGGATTGATGGGTGAACAGCAAGGATAGCGGGACGGAGATTATCCATGTGGACAAGTCCTGGGGGGTGACCTTACCGGGTCAGCCCGCATCATGTCAAGTCTTGGCGAAAAGGATCTACTATTATGTCAGCAAACTTAATGGGGATGTAATTTCCTCGTACTTCGAGTAAGTTACTTACAGACTCCGTGTCCACACTACTAAGGATTTGTGAACTATTAACGTGATGTAGTATATTGACCGTGGGGGTGCAATTATTGACTCCTTACGACAAATAATTGTGTTTGCTCATCAGTCGTGCAAAATACCGTAGTTTCTACCCTATAAAATCGAAAATTAGGAATCAATCCGGCTCGCGGTAAAGTTTGTAGCCGTCTGTTTTTCTGGAGTCCTGGGTTGATATAATACGTGGAATTAGTGAGTCAACCTGCTTCCAGTGAAGATCTCAAGAAAGCTCCAGTCACTGTACGGGCAGCGCTTGTGGTTCTAGGCGTCCCGTAGACCTAGAGGTAGCTACCGTAGTGTACTGCAACCCCAGGAGTTCTACTCGTAGTGAGGCAAGAGCGCCCGCGAAGACTCCGACCGGTTTCTTCCGGTCCTCTACCTGCAACCCTGCAGCCCCCTCCCGCATAAATTTACTGGAGGGAACCGAGAGACTCAGCGACTTGAGACACATATCGGCCCGTCCGTCCGCCAGTCCTCGGCGATGTGACTTGAGAGAATGTCCAGGAAGCGCGGCGGTAGGGGCGTCAGGAGCGACAATGAGGATTTTTGTCGCATCTTCATATGATAGATAGATTCTCGAACATGTTCGAGAGGAGATATAAGAACCAAGAACCACCAAAATTGGGTAGCCCTACTTATACCCATAGGCCGCTCTTCCAGTTCACAACTGCCGAAGGAGGATTGGATAGATGGTCGATAGTTTTGCAAAAAAGCGAGTAGTTCTGAGTACCTAACCCATAACCGTCCTAGGTCGGGCGGACCGGTAGTGAGGGAGCCGCTAGGGCGTATGATACATTCAACAAGCCCGGGAGACACCTCCGGGAACTCACATGCTTGGCTTTCCCGGCTGCCACCAGCAACGGTTTTGAAATATCCGGGGCAGGGGAGGGGTGCTCGAGTACAAGTGGGGCCGATAGATATATTAGTCACGTGGGTCTGATAAGATAAAATTTTGGTTGGCCTTCTGGTTGTGGTGTCCAGAGATAATGCACGTGACTAATATATCTATCGGCCTCACATCTCACAGCTCTAGCAGGGCCAAGCCTTCCTTGAATTTATCACCCCACCCCCGGAGCCACCCCCCGAGCTGAGAAACCCACCCCACGCCCGCAGTTGGGTCTGTGCCCCGGATACCGGTACCTGCTCCCGACCCGGTTGCGGATAGATACCCATAAGCAGGCAATACTCGTACATCAAATCACCCTACCGAACTAGACTATGCAGAATGTGCCGGCACTGTTCAAGGTTGGTATGTCTACATTTCCCTGGTTATGGGTCCAAGGTCCCCCCGCCCGGACAGCATGAGGTCACCTCAGCTGCAGCGACAAATCCAGAACCACCGCTAATTGGCCTGCCGGAAGATTTCCCCTTGCTCGTGCGGAAATACGGAGACCCATACCGAGGGGATAGCAGCACCAATACTTCTGCAATGGGGGGGGAGGGGGGTTATATATCCTTGATCACCCTCCGCTGGCCAAGCTACGATCATAAGCCCAAGCATGCCTCTCCCCGAGTAAGTCCCAAGAAATGAAGTTCCTTACCGGAATACTCTTTGCCCTTCAGATGGCATCCGCCCATCCGCCCACCCAAGACATTAAGGATGAGGTCATAGCATTTACCCAGTTCCTCAACCTCAGCACCGCCGTCAGTGAAGGTATCGCAGCACTCTTCCGACAACACCCCAAGCCCATCGCAGGAAACGTGGACCTCGCCTGTCAAGTAACCCGTCTAATCTTCGGTTCCTCGTACTCAGACCCTGTTACCGATAGCACTACCTACACCACTCTCGCCGACATCAACTGGTCGCAGTCATGCCGCCTCCGCCCTTCCTGCATCGTTACGCCAAGATCTGCACTGGAAGTCTCTGCCGCGATTAAGGTAATTTCGTTCCTGGATATCCCATTCTCCGTGCGCAGCGGCGGGCATTCCGCGAATCCGGGTCGGGCGAATACCGACACTGGGATTCTTATTTCTTTGAACGAATTGAGCGAGGTATCTCTCAGTGCTGATAAGACTGTTGCAAGTATTGGTCCTGGGAACCGGTGAGGCGCTGCGTACGATGAGCTGGCACCGCATGGAGTTGGTGTTCTTGGGGGAAGGGTTCCCGACGCTGGAGTTGCGGGATTGATCCTTGGGGGTAAGTGTCCTTCACCCCCCCCATAAAGCTAAGCCATTGGCTAAATACAGGTTAGGCGGGATATCTTACTTCACAAACGGCTACGGTTTCGCCTATGATAACGTCATGAACTTCCAAGTTGTCCTCTCCACCGGCGATATCGTAAATGCAAATGCGGATGAAAACCCAGACCTATTTTGGGGCCTCAAAGGCGGGTCTGGCAATTTCGGTATTGTCACAAGATTCGACCTAGCAACGTTCCCGGAGCTTTCTAGCTTCCGCTACGAAGTCCTCCGCTACTCGGCCGCGCAGAACGAGAAGCTGCTCGAAGCGCAGGAGGAGTATCAACGAGTTGGAGAGCTTGATGCGAAGTCTGGGATTATGCAATTGATCAACGCAGATACTTCATTGATAGCCTTGGTTTATACCGGAGGCCGCCCTGACGAACAGCCGGCAGCATTCAAGCCATTCTATGAAGTCCCCGGAATCTCCCCACTCGTGCCACCGATAGCTGGCGGGTTAGCTGGGCTGACGCAGGCATTCGCACCGCTCTTCTCCGGGCCCACCAAAAGGTATGCTTACTCCCCCAGTACGCAAGAAGGACACATTAAACCCACGAGGAAATAGACACACTATCGGCGTTGTAGCCACCCGAATCGACGTAGACCTCTATAAAGCCCTCTACGTCCGCTACGAACCCATCCGAGCAGAAGTCGCCCAGCGCGCAAACGGATCTCTCTCCTTAGTCATGCAAATAATTTACAAATCTGCCATCGAGTACAGCTCCCGCACCCACGGGAACGCGATGGGATTCTCAGATGAACCGCAGCAATTCACACACACCCTCCCCCACCACCTCCCTACTCTTACTAATTCACTGCTGAAGGGCTCGTCTACCTCTTTGACTGGACAAACCCAGACGACGACGCATACATCTTTAATACAGAAAAGCGACTAAAAAACGAGTGGAAGGAATTAGCGGAGGCTAAAGGGCTATATTTGCCCGGTCAGTATCTAAACGACGCTTCTCATGAGCAGGACCCGTTCTCTTCTTACGGTAGGGAGCGCTATGCCAAGTTGAAGGCTATAAGTCGGAGGTACGATCCTGGGCAGGCCTTCCAGAGGCTATCCAATGGGGGGTTTTTGTTGAGGGATGCGGAGAAATTTTTGTAGTCTGTGTGTATTGTACCTTTTTGGAAGGGGGTGAGTACGATACTCATGGAATATCACTCGGACTTAGCTTATTTGAGAGAGATACTGTTGCATTGCCAACAACCTGGATCATCAAAAGTTATTAGACTACACTGTCTACACAGCACCTGTCCGCCACACACCCCACTCATCTAACATCCCTATAGCTCCTAAGAGTCTTGTAGGTTTTTATGCGAGCTACAGATCTAACGGCGCATCATAAAACTTTGACCGATCTTCCTAGGCGTTGGCGCTCTGAGGGCAGTGTGCTAAAAAGCCGTCTAGCGGGGTAGCTTGCTTATAGTATCGCAGCATGGAAGGACTGGCTTTAGGAACAAGGGGATTCGTGACTCCAGGCTGGGCGGGTGTGGTGGGTGGTAAGAGAAAATAGCGAACAGCTATAATGAGGAGGCAAGGGCTGACTTGCAACTTGAGGAGCATTGGAGCGCAACAGTGAAGACGGGCGACCCAAGCCCCGGCAGAACAAAATTTCTAATAACGCGCGGCCTGAGACAGATTGTAAGTAAACGATCATCACAATTTTGGTTGCGGAGAATTTCCGAACCCTAACTTTATAGATGCAGGAAGGGGAAAGTGAACGGGATCAATCGCGGTTCTGGGATGAAAAATTTTCTCTCAGGTTTTTGGAATGCTGGAGCGGAAAAATTCATGGAGGTAGCCACGGGCTTGAGACAAGAGAATTGCTGATATCTGATTCGCTGAATGTTGCAAGGGAACTGGATAGCAAATATCGGAGGCGGAACTAGCCCGGGGTTTGGCACGAGACGAGGCGGTTTGCGACGGCCAGCTGGTTGCGTGCGGATGGAGGGGACTGAACCAGATCCAATACGGGAAGCAATTGCTAATCTGCCGCTTACTAAGTTTTGTACTCGTAGAGGGTGAATGACCAGTATCATACATACCGCTCTATTGGAAATAGCCAGTTGCTGACTTTGGGTGAGCGGAGTTCAGTAGTAGGGTAAATCAAAAAACCAACCATCGCCTTGGGACGAGACAATCGTTGACGTCTGGGAGGTCAAGTGTTGTAGGGGGTAATGAGGACAAGATAAACCAGTGTTTGAGACAGGGAAATCGCTGACCTCTGGCGGGCCGCGCGCCGCAGCGTATAAGAGAATAGGTTCAACCATAGTTTTTAGACGAGAAAACCAGCCTCCGGTATACAGCGTATTTTAGGGGGTAAGTGAACAGGACCAACCACAGTTTTGCACGCTACGGGAGCCTAAGGTGTTAGTTTTGGTATTACGGGAGAACAAGATCAAGCACGGTTTCGAGACGAGGCACACAGAGATTTGGAATCGGGGTAAAAACTGGCACCACATTAGGCTCGACGTCGCTTGGGTTTATCATATCTACAAATTTGGGTCTCGCCCACCTCACTTGGCTGAGAACCGCCAACTATGATATGATACTCTCCAACCCCGCTCCCCAAGCACCGATCAAGCTCCCATCAGGAGCAAACCGTGCTTCGCTACCTAATCAAGGGTGGAACCTGCTTCAATCCCATACACCGTACGTTTCTAAGCGGCACTAGAAATCACTGTCCATTGGGCGGGGATAGTCGAGCCTCCGTCCAGCCGAACAGGCAATATGGCCAGGAATAAGCCGATCGCCTGGTATAATAAATTATGTTATACGTGACCCCTAGAATTGTAGCTAACGTGGACTCAGATAGAGCGATCCTATTGCAAAAATCGACGATAGGGTTGATAACGTTATAAAGTCGTGGCCCCTATCAGTTTAGTATATGGCTAACAATTTAATAGGATGTGGGCGGTATCAGGGGGCACTTGGGTGAGGGCACCCAACCTTCCTACTACCACCCTCCTTGCTTAGTATACCTGCTGTATACACCTCAAACTGTGTTGTATTTTCATACAAAGTTATTAAGATCTTGCCGTACCGTACATCCTGAACAATAAATACCCCTCCTTCGGTGGTGACACTTAAAGGGGCGAAAAATAACGAAAAGCAACGAAAAAAAAGTAAAACAGTATCCCCCCATTCCCCTGATCCTCTCTCCTTCCTTCCCCAGGAGCCCGCTTCGGCCCACCCATCCCCCCACCCAAATATCATGCGAAAGCTAGGAATAAATACAGGCAGAACAAAAAACAGAAAACGCCAATTACCCCATCTAACCCAACAAAACACAGCGCAGCGATCAGACGAAATGAGAACCCCCGAAAATCTCAATCATCGCCGACCCAAACCCCTTCCCACCACTTCTCCAGAGCAATCTTCAATTTATCGGCTTTCCACTTTGCGTATTCCCACGGGTTCATGTCTTCCGGGTTTTTCTCTCCCGGCTTCTCTTCTCCTTCTCCGGGCGTCTCCGCCGAGGGGTTTTGGGTTTCATTTTGCTCTGGCTCTGGTGGTTGTGCGGTTCCGGAATTTGGCTGCGGGTCGGGGTCTGCAGGGATCGTTTGAATGGAGACTACACCTTCATTTGCACTCGTTGGGGCCGTAGCGGTCGTAGTGGGGATAACAGGTTGCCCTACTTGTGCACTGGTAGATGCGTCAATTTCCTTCCCCTCTTCCTCTTCTGTGACTGGCCAGTCGGGAACGACTTTGAATGCTGCAAGACCCTTGATGGTCGCATTTGTACCGCCGAGGGCTTCGCTAATGCCTAGACTTTCACAGACGATTCTGTGTACCTCCCAATTGCCGAATTCCTCTAAAACAACACCCACATCACCCTCCTCCTCCTCTACACCCATACCCATAACCCGTCTCTGCCCCCCAGTGTACAGGTGTCTAAACGCGGGACCCTTCGCAATGAAAATCGCCCTCATCAATGGATGTAAATTGTCATATCCGTGCAACCCGGCAGGCTCATACTTTCCCCTAGAAGGTGCATCCACGTCGTATTCCTTTCTAGTAACGATAGCGTACCCTGTCTCGGGAACAACCCACAGTGGAGCTATCCTATCGTTATTAGAAAAGTGCCAGCGAGCGGGCATGTTCTTATCGCGTAGGTATACGTCCCAATGCTTCTTACCCCTTTCCAGATTCGCGAGGGTTTCCGAAAGGAGCGTTTCGTAAAGGACTGTTAAATTCACGTTTGCGTGCGGGCGGAGACCGTAGAGTGGCCAGCCATCTGTGTGCTCGATTAGTGACATGTCGATTATCTCGTCGATATAAATTAGCCTTTCGTGGGAGGTGCTAGCCATGCCGTGGTCGGAGACTATGATTATGTTTATGAGGTCGGTGAGGTTGCGAGCGTCTAGGCCGCCGAGGAGGTCTGTGAGCATGGCGTCTACTTCTTGAATAGCGGTATTGAGATCGGTAGTGTTTGGGCCGAATTTGTGTCCGATTGCGTCCACATTTGGAACGTATGCCGCGATAAATTGTGGTCGTTCTTGGAGGGGGAGGTCCAGCCACTCTAGTATCCTCGCGGTCTTCCTTTTGAGGGACTCGGTGCTGTTGAAGTGGTCTAAGTAGCTAATGTCCCAGCCATCATTAGCTTCGGACCCGGGCCACATGTGCACCGCCGATTTAATGCCCTGGCGCTCAGCAGTGGCCCAGAGGGGTTCGCCGCCCCACCACTCGCGTTGCAGGGAGCGGGCAGGGTCGGTGTAGAAGAACTCCTTCTCAAGGTCAGGGTCCCAGAAGCTATTCCCCACAATACCATGTGACTCAGGGTGCAATCCTGTCGCAATGGTCCAATGATTTGGGAAGGTAACTGAGGGGAAAGCAGGTGTGAGCCATCGCGACGACAACCCAGAGTTCGCCATCGCCGTAAGCTCGGGGCTCATAGCTCTGTTAAGAAAATCCGCACGGAACCCATCCAGAGAAATCAGCAGCGTAGTAGGCTTATAGTCATGCGTCCCGTTAGACAACCGAGTGTCCTTCGTGATACCAAACGGCACCGCTCCGGAGCGACGCCCGTGCGACAAAGATAACGATGCGGAAATCAGCAGCAGCAAAAACGTCAGCAGCGAAACCGTATACAACAGAACTCTTCTAACGGAGGGTTTCCTTGGCTGTCCCTCAGTCAGTTAGCGCCCCTGTGCCCGATCAAATCGCCGAGTTAAAACAAACCTTCCTCTCAATGACCTCCTTCTCTCTCAATAAATCAACGTCCTCACCCTCCTCGCTGTCGGCCTCATCATCGCTATCCGCCCCAAGCCCAAACTCACCCCCCTCTTCCATACCCAACCTCTTCCCACCCATCATGTGAACAACGTCGCAAACACCTTTCTTCTTTCCCCGCGCACCGCGGACCTTCTTCCCAATCTTCACACCGGGCTTACCCCCGATGGATCCAAACAGGCCATTTCTGCCCGCAAGCAATTTTTCCCGCTCTTCCTCTTCCTTGAGAACTTCGTGGTCGGCACAGCTGCCTTCGTCGTCTGAGGATTCTGAGAGGATGTCATGTGCGGCACCCACCGGAACGGCGGGGTATTGCGCAGCAGTCATTGCCGGATGTCCGCTAAGAAAGGAGGCTATGGTATGTGACGAGTTGAAGGTTGAGATAAGAAATTCCGGGGGTATTCAGGTACTGTGTGCCGGGCTTTGGCAGTAGAATCCGCTGGAAGGCAGCTTGTGGGTTGTCGGCCGATCGGGGGCGCGATAACGTCCGTCGGTCGTGGGGATGTTGACAGGCTGGATGGATCAGGGGAGTTGAAGGGCGGGTAACTCTTTCTGGATGTGCTTGGCGTTGCGAGGATGTCTGGTGAAGGAGTCGCGTAACGCTCAAACCACCAAAACCCCGTTCTGCAATTTCGTGGTTGCCCCGTGATTGTTAGTCTACAAGGACAACATTCCACGGTGGAAATAATACGGTACAGAAAGTGGATAAGATGGCAGGCTACTTGAAGAATTATTCCTTATCCATTAGTCCCCATTGAACGAATACTATAAACATTGTATGATACTAGTAAGGTTTATTCGGTCTCAAACTTGATGATTGCCCAGCACTTGAGCAGTACGACCGCGACATTTTCCCCCGGAGCCTACAATACCTATGGAGTCGTAGAAGAGCAACAGTGATGCGGTAAATTTACTATTGGTGCTAGGGGTGCGGATGGCCGGGTGTTGCAAACTCGGGTGCGAAAAAATAGCCACGGGGCACAAATTATCAGCCTGCTGATGCCATTCAGGCCGGTCATTAAGTTCTAAGAAATGAAAGGCCCTCCTTTGGTAGAGTTCGCGATCCTGGATATGGTATCCCGATGCTAGGCCCGCCGCCCAACCCTCCCGATGCCAGTTCTTTAGCTGTCGATGCTCTCTCTAACGTACGCAATACCGCTAGCAGGTGCTAGTTGGAACGTTAAAGCTTCTCGCGTATAGGATGGTTGCCGCGGGCCGGAAGTGCAGCCGCCAGGTAAGACTAAATGATCCGGAGCCTCTCAAGGTATTAAATTAATAGCTAGTGGTAGGGCTGCTATCATAGAAGCTATCGAACCTATGACTACCTTCCCCCCTTAGATGTGAGAGGATAACGGAGGGACTGGAGGGTGAGGCTTTAAACGCGATTGGGCTATCACACCTTTGGAAATTTCCCACACAATGTGCCTCCGAAGGAGCACAGTTCGCAGTTGGGTTTCTACAACCTATCTGTGTGCCAAGACCTTGGGAAAACGCTCAACACAATATTGCTCTCCTTTCCCCGCCGGGCAGAGTATCTAGCCCGAGGCGGAAGTTCGTCTCGCATGGGCTCGGGTGTTATCCCTACGCAATGTAGTAATAGTGTGATAGGTTAATAACAAGGACGGTGAAAATAAAGTTGAAAAGCTACAACTGCGGTCGTACAACAGCTCTCTGAGTAACCCGATAAGCAGACATTTGATTGGCTACTTGACTCGTGAGAAGGCATGATAAGCGAGGAAGCTTTGTGCAACAAACAGTGCAGCAGCGTGTGATACTCGTGTAATCACGGTAGTGCCGCCACTACCGATAACGTCGAAAAATTTCTGGAAAGGACTGCTATCGCATACCGCCAAAATTTGAACCCTGTTTCTTTGGACTTGGAATAGCATGCACTAATAGCAGCTCCTCCATAAATACCCTCGGACGCTAGGAGCACAAGGTCGGACCGGAGGACAAAAAAATAAGGAGATAGCGACCCTCCTTCGGCATTTCTGGAAACCTTACATGAAAATCTGCCTACCGTGTAGGATAATTTTAGTAGCTTGTGGTGAATCTGGCGAAAAGGGACGCCTCGAGGAGATTATGCGGGTGGATATGGATGCGGTATATGCCGAGGACGGGGCAACGGAAATTCTGTGCACCAGCTCGTTTTCTTCGCCTTGGATTATTTCCTTTCCCCTTCTTCCTCTCTTCCTTCGGGCTGCCGACTGTAGTCGCTTGCCTTAAACCCCGGGCTTTCCTTTGCTATAGGATATATGTGAGCAATGACAAAATTACGCTGGAAGAACCCCAATCCTAATGTTTGTCCAAACTGTTATCACATAAATATGCCTTGGGTTGGAAGAAAAGAAACACATTTTGGCACAAGGCTCCGAGAACTTTACACGACCGATAGACCACTGTCGCCAAGTACAAGTAGGTAGAACTGCCAGGAAAGAATAATAAAATCAAGTCACCGCCGTCCAAAAAAATAAACGAACAACTAAACAGCTAGGAAATAAAACCAGAGCTTACAGCCCAACCTCTCCGTAACCGGAAGAAAGAAAATATAAACAAGTAAGGAATAGAGAAGAAAGGTCTGAAGGTTGACAGAATACTGGTAAATCGCCCACAGTAGACCTCCGGAGAAAAGCAACTTGAGACGTAGGGGCACCCTTGATTCCCAATGGACATCATACAGGATATGAACACCACCCACTCTGACAGCATCCACCTTCGCGCCAAAGAAAAGGCGAAGAATGAGAAAAAATAAACGATCGGGGCAAGGGCAAAAATAACTGTTCACGTTGATCAGTACCACTTGCTATCACCTACGATGGGGGGGGGGGGGCACAGAACAGAGATGAACAATTATGGAGAAGGACTCACGCGGCCAGCCACCCGAAAATAGACGAGGGCCAGATTATGAAAATGGCTAACTGTAACAGGTTTCCGATAAAGAAGGGCCATTTTGAATACCGGTAACGCAAGTACCAAGGAATCACCACCGATAATACGGCGGCGGTGAGGTAAATAGGGTTTAGTTGTAGTGGAGGTGAGCGTGTACGGTCTAGGAGTCGTTTCACTATTCCCTCGTGCCCATTCCTGGCAGCCAATAGCAGAGGCGTTTGACCATACTTGTTCGATGAGCGGGGGTTGACCTCGCTCCTGGCCAGCAGCAGCTTCACTATTCCCTCATGTCCATTCTGGGATGCCAATAGCAGCGGTGTAAAGCCGCACTTGTCAGATGAGCCGGGGTTGACCTCGCTCCGAGCCAGCAGCAGCTTCACTATTCCCCTATGCCCATTCTGCGCAGCCAATAGCAGTGGTGTGAGGCCCTCTTCGCTCGATAAAGTGGGGTTTACCTCGCCCCGGGCCAGGAGAAGCTTCACTATTTCCTCATGTCCATTCTGGGCAGCAAGTAGCAGCGGTGTTTGGCCATCCCCATCCGGCGAGTCGGGGTTGACCTCTCTCCAGCCGAGGAGCAACTTCACTATTCCCTCATGACCATTCTGGGCAGCTAGTAGTAGTGGCGTAATGCCTAACTTGTTCGACGAGCAGGGATTGACCTCACTCCTAGCGAGGAGAACCTTCACTATATCCTCGTGCCCATTGAGGGAAGCAAGTAGCAGCGGCGTTTGGCCATTCTCATTAAGTGCTCCGGGATTGACCTCTCTCCGGCCGAGGAGCAACTTCACTATTTCAGCATGCCCATTCTGGGAAGCCACTAGCAATGGTGAGTGACCATCCTCGTGTGTTGGGTCGGGGTTAACCTCTTTCGTGGCTAGAAGCAGCCTCGCTGTTCCCTCATGCCCACAGTAGGCAGCCAATACCAGTGGTGTATGGCCCGACTTGTTCGATGCATTGGGGTTGACCTCGTTCCGGGCTAGGAGCAACTTCACTATTCCATCATGCCCATTCTGGGCCGCCGATAGCAGGGGTGTATTGCCATTCTCATCCAATGAGTCAGGGTTGACCTCGTTCCTGGCTAGGAGCAGCTTCGCTATCCCCTCATGTCCATTTTGGGCAGCCGATTGCAGCGACGAATGGCCTGACTTGCTCGATGAGCCGGGGTTTACCTCGTCCCTATTCAGGAGCAACTTTACATTCCCTCATGCCCATTTTGGGCAGCCAATAATAACGGTGTATGGCCATTCTCATCCGATGAGTCAGGGTTGACCTCGCTGCGGGAAAGGAGCAGCTCCACTATTCCTTTGTGCCCATTCTGGGCAGCCAATAAGAGTGGCGTATGTCTCCATCCGTTCGACGAGAGGGGGCTAACCTCGCTCCCGCGCCGCAGCAGCCTCACAATTTTCTCATGCCAACGAGTAGCCAATGGCAGTGGTGAGCAGCCTGGTTTGCCCGATGTGCCCGACGAGCCGGGGTTAACCTCGCTCCGGGCTAAGAGTAACTTCACTATTCCTGTGTGTCCATTCTGGGCGGCCAATTTCAGTGGTGTATAGCCCGAATTGTTTGATGCATCGGGGTTGGCCTCGCTCCGAGCCAGGAGCAACTTCACTATTCCCTCATGCCCAACCCGGGCAGCCGATAGGAGCGGTGTATGGCCATTTTCATCCCTTGAGTCGGGGTCGACCTCGCTCCGGGCTAGGAGCAGCTTCACTATTCCCTTATGTCCATTTTGGGCAGCCAAGAGCAGTGGGGTATGGCCACGCTTGTTCGATGAGCGGGGGTTAACCTCATTCCGGGACAGGAGCAGCCTCACTATTCCCTCGTGTCCATTCTGCGCAGCCAACAGCAGCGGTGTACAGCCCGACTTATCCGGCCGGCCAGGATTAACCTCACTCCGGGCGAGGAGCAGCCTCACAGTTCCCTCATGTCCACCCTGGGCGGCCAATAGCAGTGGTGTACAGCCCGACTTATTCGACCGG